CCCCAGTGTGACCAGTGAGAATGCCAGACGGCTCCTGGCATGTGACTGTTGACTACAGGGAAGTGAATGAAGTCACACCCCCTTTGCATGCTGCTGTCCCCTCTATAGCACACATTCTGGACACCCTCAGCCATGAACTAGGAACGTATCATTATGTTGTAGACCTTGCTAATGCTTTCTTCTCTATTGACATAGCACAGGAAAGCCAGGAGCAGTTTGCCTTCACGTGGGAAGGACGACAGTGGACACTCACTGTCCTCCCACAGGAATATCTCCACAGTCCCACCATCTGTCATGGACTTGTAGCCCAGGACTTGGACACATGGAGGAAACCGCACACAGTGCAGTTGTATCACTACATTGGTGATATTATGATCACGTCTGATTCTCTTTCAGATTTAGAAGGGGCAGCTCCTAGACTGCTGCAACATCTACAGGAGAAAGGACGGGCTGTGAACAGTACCAGGGTTCAGGGACCTGCTTTGTCTGTGAAATTCTTGGGGGTTGTCTGGTCGGGTAAAACTAAAGTTATTCCTGAAGCAGTCATAAACAAGGTCCAGGCTTTCCCCACTCCTACCACTGTGGCAGTATGACAAGAGTTTTTGGGTCTTTTGGGCTACAGGAGAGTGTTTATCCCACACTTGGCACAAATTCTGAAGCCCTTATACCAGTTGGTATGAGAGGGCATCAGGTGGGACTGGGATGGGACATCTGCAGCTGCTTTCACTGCTGCCAGCAGGTAGTCAAGGCCATACAGGTCTTGAATGTAATGGACTCATCAAGGCCCTGTGAGCTAGATGTTCATGTAACCGAAGACTGTCATGGATGCAGTCTTTGGCAGCGGCTTGAATGGATTTGCCAACCTACTGGATTCTGGTCACAACTATGGAAAGGAGCAGAGGTCCGGTACACCTTGAAAGGAAAACAATTGGCTGCTGTGTACCATGCCTTGCTGGCTACGGAGCCCATTGCTGGAACTGCTCCAACCAAGGTAATAACCACCTATCTCATCACAGGGTGCATGCAAGACAGGACCTAAAGGCCACGGAGTGGTGTGGCACAGGCACCTACACTGGCCAAATGGGGCACATATTTACAGCAGCATAGCACCCACTCTACTAGCCCCTTAAGTGGAGAACTCCGACACTTATTGGGGCCAGTGACCTATGCCAGTAGAAAGCAGGAAGAATTCGCTTTTGAGCCATTGGTAGCTGAGAGTCCTTATCAGGAGGGAAAAGCCCCTATACCTGAAGATGGTTGGTATACAGATGGCTCCAGCAGTGGGCAGTCCCTGAAGTGGAGGGCTGTGGCTTTCCATCCTAAGACTGATACAAAATAGAGGGAGGATGGAGAGGGGAAGAGCAGCCAGTGGGCTGAGGTGCAGACAGTATGGCTCGTGATCACTCAGGAGTCCTCCCCTAGAGTTGTCTGCACTGACAGCTGGGCCGTCTATAAGGGCTTGACCCTGTGGCTACTGACATGGTACCATGCCAACTGGATGGTTCGTCACCGGCCCCTTAGGGATGAGAGCGGTGGCAAGTCCTTTGAGCCTCTGGTCAGACTATTATGTGACTGGCCATTTGCCTTCGGCATCCCCAGGGAATGATGTAGCAGACACACTGGCCCAGGTACACTTTCTAGAAAGAAAGGCTGCCTCTGATGTCGCCCAATGGCTACATCAGCATTTGCTGCACAGGGCAAAAGACAACGTGGACTGTATCCCGTAGGTGGGGCTTGCCATTGACCTTTGAAGAAGTCAGCCAAGCCCAGAAGGAGTGCCTGTGTGCTCTAAGAGGGACTTACACCGAGTCCCATAGCAACATGGGACAACAGTAAGGGAGCTGATACCCCTTGTGAGGTGGCAGATAGGCTTTACTGGGCCTCTGCCCATATCAGAAGGATATCGGTATGCCATGACTTGTGTGGACACAACTACTGGACTGTTTGTAGGTCTCTTTTCCTGCATGTCATGCAGATCAGCAACCACCCAGAGGGGTCTGGAGCATCTCCTTGCAGCCCATGGCCAGCCCCAGGTGACCGAGAGCGATCAAGGCACCCACTTTACTGGACATGCATTACAAGAATGGGTGCAGCAATTAGGAATAAAGTGGAAGTTTCATGTACCATATAATCCTACCGGGGCAGGCATGATAGAGAGTTACAACGGTTTGTTGAAATCTGGCCTGAAGTCGGACACCAATAGTCTATGGGGTTGGTCAGTCGCCTGAGGACAGTGCTGTGGCATTTGAGTAAGAAGCCCCGAAAAGGAGCCTTGAGCCCTGCGGATCTGCTCACACACCTTGTTGCCTCTCCTATACAACTGTATGTGCAAACCAAAGAGGAGTTACTGAAGCCAGGATGTGGCCAGCAGAGCAACATCCTGCTGCCAGCACTACTGCATTAAGCCCTGAAGACACTGTTGAATGGATGTGGCCCTGGACATTTTGACACACTGGGGAAAAGGCCAGGAAGCTGGCCTCCGGTGTGTTCCTGGAGTAAAAGCAGAGTGGCCCCCAAAGATCACAGGAGTGTATCCAAAACATCCTGGAGGTAAGCATCTTATGGGGAAGTTTCGTTTTATCTTTATGGCCAGTGCCTGTACCTCCCATAGCCCTATCTACTGACCCATCCATCTGTAACTCCCACAGGGAGGGGGTGTAAGTCTGGTGTACTAGACCAGAATGAGATCCCATTCCTGACACTGTCCTGTCACAGGACCACTCTTGCGTGAATCCTACCTGGTGGACAAGATTTGCCTACGCTAGTGTCATTAAAATATGTATCCTATTGTCCTTAAGGTTATTTTCTTCTACAGTCCCTCTGGCCTGGAAGCACCCCCTGGCGGAAGCTGCAGTGTGAGGATTGCTCTGAACTCCCTACCTCTTCAGCTACTGACGATGGAGTGGGCGGGCTATGGACTAAAGGACTTTCAACCTAGCTAAATCCTCTGGTTTGAGGATTATCATGACTTTATTGTTGTTACTATTGTATGCTATTAGTCTTGTTACAATACTCCAGTTTTCTCACACAGGGGCCATTGTGGAAGATGGAGAATGAGTAGATTGTAAGGCGAGATTTCTGGAGGGGTGCGTTGTGGGTAAAATAGCAATATTTCCAGAATCTCTCACCTGGCCTTAGTGTATCCCACATCAATAGGTGATTACAAGGGCCAGTGAGGGCATATCTGGACTTTAGAGGTTGGGTGGGGTCTTCTTCAGCCACCAGGTGGCAAGAGGCACGGGAGAGCAGAAGTGGACTGCTTGTAAGCGGTAAACGGGTTTCTCCCACTTCATTTCTCCTTTGACTGATTTTGGTTTCAACATTATTTTGCCCTGGGATTTTCCCCCCAGAGTTACAGTGGTCCATAAGGAGATGGGGGGCTCCCTCTGGGGCTGGGGTGTGGAGTCTGTAGGGATCCTGGTAGGAACCCTGCTCAGGGACACTGAGCCTGCAGCAAGCTGGTGCTGGGTGAAGAAGGGAATATAGGGTAAGACCTGACAGATGGGTTTTCTCTTTTAGGTAATGCCAGAACCTGACTAGGTTATGATTGGGAGGCACCCATTTCAGAGGGGCATATCCACAATAAACTCATCTCCCATCATGTTAATTAAGAGACAGGTGCCTCCCCACACTGAGGTTGCTTCCTTTTAGAGATCTTAGTTGATTTCCATAACCAACTACCTGGGCCACCTGTCTTTTCTCTTCCTGCACTTTAAATTCCCATGCTTTTGTTTACTGCTGATGGGAATGTAAATTAGTTCAGCCATTGTGGAAAGCAATATGGAGGTTCCTCAAAAAAACTAAAAATAGAAATATCATTTGACCCAGGAATTTACCAAAAGAAAACAAGATCCCAGATTCAAAAAAACATGCACCCCTATGTTTATCATAGCACTATTTACGATAGCCACGATACGGACTCAACCTAAGTGTCCATCAGTAGGTGAATGGATAAAAGAGCTGTGGTACATATATGCAATGGAATATATTCAGTCGTAAGAAGAAAACAAATCCTGCCATTTGCAACAACATGGATGGAGCTAGAGGGTATTATGCTCAGTGAAATAAGCCAGGCAGAGACAGACAAGGACCAAATGATTTCCCCCATTTGTTGAGTATAATAAGAAGCAAAACTGAAAGAACAAAACAGCAGCAGACTCACAGACTCCAAGAAGGGACTAGTGGTTACCAAAGGGAAGGGGGCAGGGAAGGATGCTGGGGAGGGAGGGAGATGGGGATTGAGGGGTATTATGATTGGCACACATGGTGTGTGTGTGGGTCACGGGTAAGACAGTGTAGCACAGAGAAGACAAGTAGTGACTGTGGCATCTTACTGTGCTGATGGACAGTGACCGCAATGGGTATGGGGGACTGGATAATATGGGTGTAGTAACCACAATGTTTTTCACGTGAAACCTTCATTAGTGTATATCAATAATACCTTAATAAAAATAAATTCCCATGCTTGTGTTTTAAACTCATCACTAAAAATAAACCCTCAAGCCCTGCCCGCTACCCCAATAAAGCAGAGTCCCCAGGGTGCATTAACACCATGTGCTCTTTCCATCCTTGAACTTGCTGTCTGCTGTGTGCTGCTTAATTTTCCGATCGTGTAATTATTTATTCAAAATAACCTGACGGTTTTACTGAAGGGTTTCTTTCAATCATAGTAAGAACCAGGAGTGGTGGTGCAACCACGACATTGGGTACCGTGGGCTGAGATGGACAGAACACAAATCAGAGCCTGAAGAGCCCCAGGCTGGATGCAAGTACCAGAGCCACCCATACCCTTGCAGGAGGAGGTGGGTCTGCAAAGTAAACGCCGACTTGACTGCCTGGACGGGAAGCCGTCGCTCCGCCCCGCGCTCCCCTGCTGCGCCTAGTGTAACTTGACACCCAGTCCTCTGTTACCCCTCCGGGTACCCTAAGTATTTACAAATTTTGAAAACACCAGGAAACAGAAACTAAACAAATCGAAACTACGGGGGAAGGGAGGGCTGAGACCGCCCCAACATCCGGACCTCAGCGCGCAGTGCCTGCACCATGAACCGCAGCTCCCAGCCGCTCTTCAGCGGCGCGCACGCCGGCGTCCCCCCGACCTACGAGATGCTCAAGGAGGAGCACGAGGTGGCCGTGCTGGGGGCGCCCCAGACGGCGGCCCCCGTGACGACCACCGTGATCAACATACGCAGCGAGACCTCTGTGCCCGACCACATCGTCTGGTCCCTGTTCAACACGATCTTCCTGAACGTCTGCTGCCTGGGCTTCGTGGCGTTCGCCTACTCCGTGAAGGTGGGTGGTGCGGAGGGTCCCCGGAGGGCACCTGGGGCTGGGAGGCCCGTGCGTGAGCAGGTCACAGTGCGGCTGCGGGGGGCACGTGGCGAGGGTTGTGGCCGGCCTTTGTCCCCGCGACTCCAAGGAGCCCACCCCCCCGACCGCTACCAGAAGTCACACACCTCGGGCTCAGGCGTGGCCCCAGGCGCTCTCGGAAGAACAGACGAGCCCACGGGGAGCTTTCTCTCCCTGTGGGGTGAGAGGCCAGCCACGGGGTCAAGCAGGGGAAGAGGGCGCTGAGGCCTCCTGCAGAGGCTGAGGTTGGAGGAAGGAGACGGGTCCCGACCGGCCAGGCCCCAGGGCAGGCGGACGGGTGGTGTCCCCTGGGCCCAGAGGAGGAGCCAGGGCCCAGCACGTGGCTCCCACCTGGACCCTCTCTTGACCGCCCTGCCGTCTCCTCCCCCAGTCCAGGGACCGGAAGATGGTGGGCGACGTGACGGGAGCGCAGAGCTATGCGTCCACCGCCAAGTGCCTCAACATCTGGGCCCTGATCTTGGGCCTTCTTCTGACCATCGTGTTCATCATTATTTGCGCCACTGGCTCAGTGATGATTTTCCAAAGCGTTTCAGAGGTCGCGAAGGGTTATGGAGGCTACTAGCGGCTGCCATGGCCTGAGGCTGTCACCCGTTTTCCAGCAGTTTATACGCACCTTTGTCTACAAGTAAATGTTTTCAATAAAGAACTTGTATGGGAGGCTCATGTGTTTTCACCTGGGGAGGAGGCTCTGCTGAGTCCCCATCCTGCCCCCGAGCCCGAGCCCACTGCTTGCTGCTCTAGGGGCCCGGGCATGTCCTCGGGCCTCATGCATCTGGCCTCAAGCTGGGGACGAGATAGGGACAACGGTTTTTGGGCGGGACGTCTCTCCTTCCCAGAGGCCTGAGCCCCGACCCAAGATGGTCTGTTCGGGAAGGCTGGCCGCGGGGTCCACGACACTTTCGGGCCTGAGACCACCGTCGGCTCGGAAGGGCTCCAGGGTACCTGACGGGGACGCACAGAGCGTCTCGCGGAGACAGCCCCACGGGTCCCCGCCCCGGTAGCTCGGTTCTGGGCCTCTGCCAAGGCTTCCGGGCCTGCGGTGCCTACAGCCTTCCCAGTACACAGGGACCCGGCTGTGGATCCCACACACACCGTCCTGCCCCCAAACAGCAGGGCCCTAAACCCTAGGAAGTGGCCGCCGGCCAGGGGTCCCCAGGGTGGGCCTTGGAAGCGTACGATTGCGCCCCACGCGCGGGGTCCCCCAATAATGAGCACAGCGCGGCCCCTTCCCGAGCCGGGGAGACCCCAGCACACACTCGGGCGGGAAGAGGATTCTACAGGGCCTGGCGGCGGCTGCCGAAACGGAGTCCGTCCCTTCCAGGGCACGTCTGCCATCCAGCCCCGGCCACTAGTGACCACCCCGCGACGGGAGGACGCGCCGTGCCACGGCTCCGTGGGAAGATTGCAGAACCACAACCCCGCACGGCGGCCGGACCGAGCCCGCCCCACGCCGGACAGGCCCCGCCCCCTGCCCCTTGGCACTAGCCGGGCCCCGCCTCTCCCTCACCCAGCCGGGTCCCCAGCCCTGGACACGCACCGGGCCAGCCCCACCCCCCTCAACCCTGCCTCCCGCCAGCCTCCCTCCACCCCTTCCTCCAGGGCCTCCTCCTCCCTGCTACCTGCCCCGGACGACGCGGGACCCCTGGACGCCCCCCTGGGACGCGAGCTCGCGGCGGCGCCGCGCAGGGCTAACCCGAGCCCCGCGAGGAGCACGAGGGCCCACGTGCGCCCGCGCCGCGCCTCGGGCCGAGCCGCCTCGGAGCGCACCCCAGCTCCCTGCCTGCTGCGCCGGGGGCCGCCCCGGCAGGACCCTCGTCGCGCGGACCGCAAGGCACGTGGGCGGACGCCCGTGCTGACCGCCCTCGCTGCCTACTGCCCGGAGGGGAGCCTGGGAACTGGGTCTGCGTGCCCGCTGCCCCCCGCCATGAAGCCAGTCCCTCCAGACCCGAAGAGTGAGTCCGCCCGCCTTCCCTCCCTCAGGACCCGCCTCACGGGGACCCCTCGTGCCCACACTGGGGTCTCGGACGCGGGGCGCTCTGCTGCGCGTCACTGCTCTCCGCAGCGGCCCCCGCGGCCGGCCATGAGCCACGGAGTCGGGACCTCCGGGGTTGACAAGCATGAGGGGCTTTGGGCGGCCCACCCCTGTGGGTCCCTCCCGGGACGACCCCAGGCGACCACCTGCGATCCTCGGGTCCCCAGGGAGCCTGGATCCCCAGCACGCGACGCGTATGTGCAGCAGGGTTGCCACCTGCACTCAGGCAGGCTCTCCAAGGTGACCGCCCAGCAACTGGTGCCACGCGCAGGGCATGGTGAGTCAGTCGACAGGGCAAGAGACAGGGCTGCCTGCAGCGGGTGGAGGACCGTCCTGCTCCGCAGGTGCAGCCCGCGCTCTGGCGAAGCCCACACCCAAGGCCCCAGGGGCCCCAGGGACCGGGGACCTTCCCGGGACACTGTGCAGCTGCTGACCCGGCCGAGCGGGCAGGGTTGGGATGGGACGAATTGGTCTTCCTTCGCAGGTGCGATTATTGGCTTCTGCCGCCAGCCCGGAGCTGAGCACTCCGTCCCTCCCTCGGGCCACTGCCGGCCGCCCCCAGGAACAAGGACCGCGCCTCGTGCGCGGGAGGGGGCGGCAATGGCTGGATGGCGCGGGAGGGGCTGGGAGGCCCCGGGCTCCATCAGCGGTGCCCAGATAGAAACCCATGGCCTTCCCAGAGGGCCTGAGCTGCCCAGCTTACCCAGCCTGACTGCCCCCAGCCGGCGGGGACCGGGAGACGTATCCTCGGGGTGCAGGTAACCGGATACAGCACGTTCTGGGATCACGACCCAGACCTTGGGGAGCAGGGACCCCCCCAAAGTTAGCACCCTGGCACCGCAGTGGGCAAGGGGGTGGGCTCGGTCTCAGCGACAGGCTGGAGGCTCTCAGGAGTGCCCCTCCGCAGTGGATGGCAGCAGGTCACACAGGGGCTGTTTATTGAATCCACTGAAGTGTGTAGGCCCTGCACGCAGGAGGGTTGGGGGGAGACACGGTGAGGGGTCACCGGAGGGGGAAGGGGGAGAGCCCCGAGCAATGACTGGGGTCCTCCCTGGTGGTCCCTGCTGCGGCCCCGCCCTCCTGGTTCCCTGGAGTCTGAGCAGGACGGGTCCCACTCCTCCCGCACCCCCCTGGGCCTCCATCTCCTTCCTCAGAGACACTCAGCCGTTCTGGAAGCCTGGGGTCTCACCATGCCCCTCTCTGGCACCTTCACTGGCCACTCACCCCACCCGGGGTCAGTGTCCTTTGAGTACCTTTCCGTTCTCCTGCACGAATCTTGAGGGCTGGACGCACAGCGTGAAGGATGCAGTCTCTCATCTGGACTGTGAAGGGGGACCTGGGCACTGGAGGTGCAGGTGGACCCCGCCGTCCCCTGCACACCCCGCTGCAATGTCCCTGGACGATCCCGCTGCCACACACGGCCCCACTGCCCACCCCCTGCATACACACACACACACCGGCTCCCCAGCCCCAGGTGCCCTCTGGGCATGTGGACAGGGTCACAGGCCCCTCAGGGAACTCCCGCACACCACCCACCTTCACGGAGTAGGCGAATGCCACGCAGCCCAGGCAGCAGACGTTCTGGACGGTTGTGTGGAACAGGGACCAGATGATGTGGTTGGGCACAGAGGTCTCACGCTGGATGTGATCATGGTGGTCGTCCCAGGGGCTGCGCTCTGGGGCTTCCCCAGCACGGCCACCTTGTTCTGCCTGATCATCTCTGCTTTTGGGGGTGCAGGTGTTGTCCCAATGGAGGAAGGGCTGAGGAGAGGGGCTCCTGATGCGGAGGCCTGAGCAGCTGAGGCCCGGATGCCAGGGGACGTCCCTCTCTGGGGAGTTTTGAGTTCTCTGAAAGTTTCTGCTTCCTGGTGTTTTGTGAGTTGGGAATTGGCTGGCACTCAGAAGGTGGACAAAGGGCTGCGAGTCAGTTACACTAGGGGAGGTGTGCAGAGGGCTGCAGGCGAGGGGCGCTCCTGTGCAGACACTCAAGGCAGCTTGCCTCTGTGGACCCCTCCTCCTGTAGGGGTGTGGGCGGCCCTGGGCACTACTCCCCAGCCTCAGCCCCAGCCTGCTGCAGGCTCATTGTCCCCGTGCAGGGTCCCTCCCAGGCGCCCCTACAGACTCCACATGCAGCCCCAGAGGGGGTTCCCATCTCCCTATAGCCCACACCTCAGTTGTCCCAGGCCTCTTCCTGGATTGTGCCGTCAGGAGCTGCCACCTTGACCCTAGCGGCCCAGCTGGGTCAGGGCTCCCAGCCCAGCCTGCAGGTGCCCCCAGTGGCTCCCACACCACCCGGAGGTTGGGCCTCTGGCTCCGGGGCCTCCTCTCGATTCCCAGCTTCTGACCCTTTCGGCCCCTTGCCTGGCCTCCCCTCACAGGCCGTCGGCTGCTTCCTGCAGCTGCCACCTGTGGGTGCCCCCACAGCGGCGTCACCTGTACCCCATTCCTATGTTCAGTCCTCCCTGTTGAAATATCTCATGTGGCTCTGCTTTCCTGCCAGACCCTCCCTCACCCGGAAGCCCTACTACTCCCACGTATGTGCTCAGGCTGTCAGAGGGCAGGGGTGGGACACCACCTGCCCTGGTGCCTGCTCTGGGGTGAGGTCAGTGAAGGGCAGGGTGGGGCGCCAGCAGGCCCGAGTGGGCAGCTGCCCGTTCGCAGTCCTGACGTGCTGCCCTTGCCAGCGCCTGTGGGACAAACTCCCACCTGGGCCATCTCGGGCTGACATGACACCCCTTTCACGGTGAGACCGGGGGTGGGCACCAGCTCATGTGCAGCTTTCCATGTGCGGCTGAGGTGGCAGTAAATGTAGTGACAGGACTGCCAAGTGGTGCACCTAACTAATCGTTACTTTCTATTAGGGTCACTTATTTTATATTATTAATATTTCATTTATGTAACATTTGCAGGACATTAAGTTTACTCCTCATCCATCTTACAGTGGGTCACTTAGTCACTGTACACATATTCTCTTGTGTTGCAATCATTGCTAATATTTGATTGCAGAACATTTCATAACACAAAAATAGGTCCCATCTGCATTACACAGTCACTCCCAATTTCTTTGTCCCCCAATCCCCTGGCAACCGCTTACCTATTTTGATTCTCCTCAGTTTCTCTATTCTGGGCTTTCATATACATGGAATCAAATAATATGTGGTCTTTGTGGCCTCTTTCAAGTGGCATATTTCCAGTGTTCGTGTTTTTGCATCTATCAATGTTTCTTTTTGGCCACATTTTCCATAATATGGATATACCACCTTCTTCATCTAGTCTTAGCTTGATTGTCATTTGTTTTCACTATTTGGCTACTATTAATAATGTTGCTATTGACATTCCTGCACAAACTTTTCGGTAGACACACATTTCATTAGTTCACTATCTAGTAGGGGTTTCTGGGTCATAGGGTAACTATGTTTCATTATTCAAGGAACTGGTTCCCACACATAGGTGTGGGGTTCCCACACCTATGACAGGCTTATTACCTGCGTTTCTATTCTGGCCAGCATAAACGACGTGAGCTAGTATCGCCCTGTGGTTTTATTTAGCATTTCTCTCGTGACTAGTAAAATGGAGCATATTTGCACACCTTACTGGCACTTTGGTCTGTCTTCCTTAGAGAAACGTGTATTCAGGTCCTTTGCCAATCTTCTAACTTCTATTTGTTTTTTTTCTACTGAGCTGTAACTGTTCTTAAACTTCAAGATATCACTTGTTTACCACATTTATGATTTGCAAACATTTTCTCCCTTTCTGTGGTTTGTCTTTTCACTTTCTTAATTGTGTACTTTACATCAAAAGTTTTAAATTTTTGTTAGGGCCCATTTATCTCTTTTATCTTTTGGTGTCATATCTAAGAATCCTTTGTCAAGCCACCTGACACTTCATGGATGCCACTGACTCTCAGGGTGGAGCTCAGAGAGAGCTGCCGCATGTCCTTTAATCAGGATGACCCTCAAAGGATGGGGCCAGGGCACACACCATCATCTCAGCACGTGACGCCGTGGCCAAAAAGGGGACCCCTCTGCTTGTCCCATCAGGAGTTTATTTCTGTAGTCTGACAGCTTCTTTGACCTGAACTCCTGCCCCCTGGACCCTCAGTCCAGGGAGGCCCACCCTGCAGACAGGGTCATGCTTCCCTCTGAGATTCTGAGGCTGAGGCCACCCTGAGCCTTCCCAGCTTTGTGACTGGGGCCCTCACCTTCCAGGTTAAATTTGAGGATCTGGCGAGACCCTCCCCGCTGCTGGCTGCATCCCCTGGGAGTCGTGAAGCTTGTCTAGAAACTAGGAGCTTTTGTCTGGAGGCTCCTCCTCCCTGTGAGCATTGCAGATATTTCCAAAATGGTTGGCTTGCATGAAGCACCTGATATTTATCAAAATTGATTATTTTCTGGTCTGTCCTAAGCTGTCCTATCCCAAGTGAAGCTGGTGGAACGTGGTCCAGGTTGGGGAAGCCCTCACTGAGCCCTCCTTCAGCTGCACTGTCTCCAGGTTCTCCATCACAGTCAGTGGTTCCTGCTGGTGCGGGATCTGCCAGCTGCCAGGGAAGGAGAACTGAGTCATTGTGGAGTCACCAGGTGCCACCTTCCTGAGCCACAGCTCAGGGTCCTGGGGCATGTCCAGGAGCCCATTTTCCCTGTCACTGGACTCCATTACTACTGGCCACGGCTGCGTGCAAGATGCACACAGGGAGGGGAAGGCAGTTTGAGCCCAGACATGGACCTCCCTGCAGGATGGTCAGGTGGGGACTGGGCTGCAGTGGGCACTCAGGACCCCCCGAGAACAGGGCTTCACTACAGGGCAGGTGCAGGAGGTTCCTGGAGAGGCATTTCCTCCTGGGGCCTTGGGATTCCTTATGCCCAGTCACCCAACAGTGATTTCTATTTGTTTAGTTAATATTTTCACATGTTAGCTTACTGTATCTCTCAGGACATCATTTTCCACAAGGGATTATAAAAAATTTAATATAAATATATTAACAAAATATTTCTAAGCAGATATATGCATTTTACTGACCTCTCACCTCAGGCTGACCTTGAAGCCCTGCATGAGGCAGGAAGTGAAAACTAAGACAGGCTTGTAAGCTGCTGGAGTGTGGAAGGTGTGTCTGGTTATCCCCTACCCCCAACAACACAGAAAGCCCTTCAGCAAAGGCTGGGAGGGTTACTAGTCCCGGGTGTTTATTCTCTGTGCACCCATTAGCTCACCACTAAAGCAACTGAACAGACTCTATGTGTCTGTGCGTAACAAAGAATACAGGCCTCACAAAACCAGTCCAGCATCTGTGACTTCAGCAACAAGCCTGGCTGGGTGAGGATCTGATTTCCAGCACCACCACCTTATGTTATGTAAAATGTCCAGTTTTCAAACTAAAATTATTGGACACTCAAAGATTCATGAGTATATGACCCATACACAGAGGGCAAAAAAGCTACAGAGAAGCTGTCCTTGAGGAAGCCCACACGTTGGACATGCTAGATGAAGATTTAAAATCATCCATTTAAAATACGTTCACAAGCCCCAAGGCACTCATGCCTAACAAATTAAAGGAAAATATGAGAATGGTGTTTTACTAGGTAGAAACTATAAAGAAATCAAAATTTAAAAAGGATCAAATAGAAATTCTGAAGTTGTAAAGTACAATAACTGCAATGAGAACTTAGCTAGTGGGGTTAAGATGGTATTTCACCTGGCAGAAGAGTAAAAACAAAGAGAGTTGGCATTATCCCAGAGACTTGGGGTACACCATCGATGGTACAACATAGGCATAACGGGAATCCCAGAGAGGAGGCGGTGAGGAAATACTCAGAAAGTTCTCAAATCCCTCCGCCTCTTGGCAGGTGTGGTGGGAAGCCAAGGAAACATGGTTTCTGTTGAGGCTTCAGGAACGTAGAGGAATCGCAAGGTGCCTGGGTGCTTGCGATCAAGACAATGTAACGATGTACCACCGGGACTCAGTGATGTGGAACACCTTGTTGATCATAGTCATGGAAGCAGATTAGTTTATAATACGGTATGTGGGTGACCTTTACAGAAATGGATTAAAATATAACTACTATCCAAATACGCCTATAGTGACCTAATAGTTCCCACTGCAATGGTTCTGGGTGCTGACTCCCCACTAGCTTTGTAGTAAATGTATAAAAGGCATGGCCCTGCTGTACTCGGGGGCTCAGACCTTTGGAGATCACTCTCCTCTGAGCACGCCGGTGTGAAAAAACCTCCACGCCCCCCAAGACCTCCAAGTCCCGCTTCGCTCTTCTGTCAGAAATCCAGTCCAGGTTTTCTGGTTTTCTGTAACAGAGAGATGAGACAGAGAGAGAGAGCATAATATTTCAAAAAAGAATGACTGAAAACTGACCAAATTTGATGAAAAATCCACATTAACCCACATGTCCAAGAAGCTCAATGAATTCAAAGAAGTCTAACCCCAAAGAGAGACATACCTAGACACATCATAGTCAAAGTGTCAAAGTCAAAGACAAAGAGGCGTAGTGCTCATGCTAAAATGAACGCGGTACCTCGCTGTGATTTCATGTGTTACCATTTTCACTTATGAAGTTCAGCTTCTCATCGTATGCTTATCACCATTTGTACGTTTTTTCCCTAGAGAAATGTCTGTTCAAACCCTTTGCCCATTTTGAGTTGGTCTTTTTATTGTTAAGTTTTGTATTGTCTACACCTCCTTGAGTCAGTTTTATAGATTCTGTGTGTTTGTAGGAATTCACCCACTTCATCTAGATTACCCAGCTTGTCGGCGCACCACTGTTCATAGTATTCCTGTAATTCTGGTTTTGATAATCAGTTGTAATGTTCCCACTTTCACTTCTGATTTTAAAAATTTGAGTCCAAGAATGAACTAGTGGTTACCAAAGGGGAGGGGTGGGGGAGGACGGGCGGGGAGGGAGGGAGAAGGGGATCAAGGGGTATTATGTTTAGTGCACATGGTGTGGGGGGGTCATGGGGAGACAGCATAGCACACAGAAGGCACATAGTGACTCTGTGGCATCTTACTACACTGATGGACAGTGACTGCAGTGGGGTACGGGGGGGGACTGATAATTTTTTCATGTGAAACCTTCGTAAGAGTGTATATCAATAATCCTTAATAAAATATTAAAAATTTTTTTGAGTATTTTTTGTTTTTGTCAATCTTATTAAGGTTTGTAAATTTTAAGGTCGTTTCAAAGAGCTAACTTTTGGTTCCGTTGATTTTCTCTATGGTTCTATTCTGTTTTCTCTGTATCTGTTCTAACCTTTATTATTTCCTTCTATCTGCTAGTTTTAGTTTGCTCTTTTTTTCTAGTTTCTTAAGGTGAAACGTTATGTACTGACATATTTCTTCTTTTTTATATGGGAGCTTGCAACTATATATTTCCCTCTAAGAACTGCTCTCCTTGCATCCTGTAAGTGTTGGTACATTTAGTTTTCATTTTTACTCATCGCAAAATGTTTTCTAATTTCACTTGTGATTTCTTTTTTGATCTGTTGGTTCCTCAGAAGTACATTGTCTGATTTAAATATGTTTGTGAATTTCACTATTTTCCCTCTGCTAATGAACTCCAATTTTATTTCATTGTGGTCCAATAATATATTTTGTATGATTTCAATCCTTTTCCATTTATCAGTAATGTGTTATGGCCTAACATATGTTCTACCTGGGGAATAGTTCATGCGCCCTTAAGAAGGATGCGTATTCTTATTAAGTCTGGTTGGTTTATAGTTGTTCCGTAACTACCCCACAGAATCAAATGGTCCCTCCCACCAGAAAAACATTTGATTACAATGGTGAGTGTGGTGATACCATACACTCACCAAGTGGATGTGAAAAGGTGTATTTCTCATATAACAAAGCATTGTGGGTCATATGATGAAGCATTGTGGGGAGGGCAGGGTAAGTCCCCAGCAAATCCCAAAATGGTGTGAAAGAACAGGGCAAGGAGATTGGCTTGAGATTTAAGGCGTCATAGACTTTTTGGGGCTGGGGCTTGACTTGCCACGTGTGGTTGAACTTCCCACACCCCGAAGCACCCAGGCTAGCGGAGCAGTTTGCCCTGATGCAGGGCAGGAAGGCAGGCAGGAGGGAGGCCAGGAGCTATCAGCAATCTCAAAACATGGACGTAGAGTCTTTATCACAACTCACCCTGATATTCAACTGGTGGGTGAGATGCTCCTCCCTTCGTTCCCTGGAACTGGAACTTCGGAAGCACAGACGGCCCTCGGCAAGGCCTGCAGCCTCAGCAGCTGAGGCCCCAGGGCCTCGCTCGACAGCCCAGCTCCGTGTCTGGAGAAGTCAAATCGTGGTGTGTTCACTACCAGCGCTGTCTGGGCCTCACCAGGGGACGGGGGGAGTCCTCATAGGATTGTGCATTTTGGTTTGCATATATGTGGGGACACTGTGACCTTGGCTCACATTTTGGTGTATCTGTGACCAAGAGGATCCCAGAGCTCGGCTCTCTACCCCTACATCTGTGACAATAGGCAGATGTGGCCTGTGTCGGCCATGGCATTGGGGGCTGAGATGATGGCGTGTGCCCTGGTTCAGGAGCAACCCAATTAAGGGACGGCAAGGGCAGCGCCCCCTGAGCTCCGCCCTGAGGGACAAAGGCGTCGGTGGGCACAAACACTCAGTGCTGCTCTGACCTTCGGTCGTGTTCAGGGATGGAATCTCTGGTCATTACAAAGTGCCCCCCGTACCCAGTGATGCCTGTCCCAGTATCTATGTTGTCTGCTGTGGGACCCCCGGCAGGTCTCTGGGGTACTGTTCTCAGGGTGTGTATCTTCCCATCCTTTTACTTTCAACCTACTTTGTTCTTGAATCAAAAGGTTCTCTCATATAAATTGCACATAGTTGAATCAAGTTCTTTTTCTAATGCACCACTCTATCTTTTGATGATTTTACCTGTTTATATTTAATATAACTATGGATAAGATAAATATGTGTCTTCAATTTGCCATTTTTCTATATATATTATGTCTTATTTTCCATATTCTCTATTCTTTGGTAACTCCTGTCTTTGTATAAAATAGATCGTTTGTATTTTAATTTCCTTTTCATTTCTTTCACTATATTTTCCTCAATGTACACTCTTAGTGGTTGCTTTGGGGATTTACAGTAACATTTTAGCTAATGATAAAATGGCTTGGATTAATCATAACTCTCCCACGTGTTAATATGCTTTACGGAGCCCCACCAGCTTCTAAGTTAATTTTTCTTCAGTCTTCTTTTTTTCCCCTGTTCCTCAGATAATTTCAGTTCATCTGTCTTCAAGTTCACTGATGATTTTCTGTCTCAAATATGCTGCTGAGCTATTCTATGAAAAAAACAAAACAAAACACTTTTTTTCTCCGGAATTTGGTTATTTTTTTAATGTTTTCTATCTGATGAGACATCATTCTCAAAATTTTCTTTAGTTTGATATGGTTTCCTTTAATTCTTTGAACAGACAGCTAATTTAGAGTCTTTCTCTAGTAATTAAAATGTCTGGGATTCCTCAGAGACAATTTCTATTGACTACTTTTTCTATCCCTATGTACAGGGATTTATTTGCATTTCTCATAATTCTTTGTTAGGAAACTAGACTTTTAAAATAACATAATGTGGCAGCTTGGGAAATCAGATGCACCCCACCCCAGGGTGTTCCCCTTTTTGTTGTAGTTGTACTGCGTGTTCTCTGCAGTCATTCTGCTAAGCCTGCTCACTGTGCCCTGTGTAAGCACAGACGTCCCTGAGGAAACTGTGGCGAGCTAACTTCTCAGACTCCTGAAGCAGCAGCTCACTTGTCTTTACCAGGAGCCCTGGGAGTGTGTTGGGGCTGCAGCGCTCGGGCAGGTGGGTGGGTGGCCTACTTTCACCTTCATTTCCCGTTTGCACGGAGGTGAGTGCTGGAAGCCCTCCCAGGATTTTCCTAAGCCCCTTGTGCCTGGTTTCTAGAACCCCAGGAGTATGTTGGAGCTTTTATTTTTCTTTGTTTTTAAATTGATGTTGAATTCATGTAACATACAATTAATCATTCAAAGGTGTACAGTTTAGTGGCATTTGGTGTATTAATAACATTGTACAACTACCATGTCTCTCTAGTTCCAAACTTCTCACTGCCCCAGAAAAATACCGTGTCAGTTAACTGCTCTCCACTCCCTCTCCTCCTGTCTCCTGACCCCCACTAGTCTGCTTTCCGTCTCTATGGACTTACTCTGGATATACCATACGAGAGCGATCATCATATGTGACCTTTTGCGACTGTCATCTTTCATTTAGCATCACGGTTTTGAGGGTTACCCAAGTTTGTAGCATGTATCAGGACTTTGTTCCTTTTTATGGCTGAATAATATTCCACTGTGAGTGTGTATATATCATAATTTGTTTACCCTTTCATCTGTTGCTGGACATCTAGGTTGCTTCCATCTTTTGGCCATTAAGAATTAAGAATAAGAATCAAAAACTTTATTTTACCTTCTTTTCTTTCCTTCTCTGATGTACTTCCTTAATGTGGATAAAAATTTCTAATGTAAATAGTTTTATTTTTGCCTGGAAAACCTCTTTTAACATTTCTTAAAGGGTGGATCTGCTGACAAACAGATCCCCTGTTTTTGTTTGAGAAAATCTATTTCTCCTTCACTTTAAAAAAAATTTTGGTATGATTAAAAAAAATTACATGAGCAACATTGTGGTTACTAGATTTCCCCCATTATCAAGTCCCCACCACATACCCCATTACAGTCACTGTCCATCAGCCCAGTAAGATGCTTTAGAATCACTACTTTTCTCTGTGCTATACTGCCTTCCCCGTGTCCCCTGCTACATTATGTGTGCTAATCAGGTAGTGCCCTTTATACCCCTTCTCCCTCACTTCCCACCCCCACACCCAGCCCCTTTCCCTTTGGCAACTGTTAGTGCATTCTTGGGTTCTGCGAATCTGCTGCTGTTTTGTTCCTTCAGTTTTTGCTTTGTTCTTATGCTCCACAGATGAGTGAAATCATTTGGTACTTGTCGTTCTCCGCCTGGCTTATTTCACTGAGCATAATACCCTCTAGCTCCGTCCATGTTGTTGCAAATGGTAGGATTTGTTTTCTTCTTATGGCTGAGTAATATTCCATTGTGTATATGTACCGCATCTTCTTTATTCATCTACTAATGGACATTTAGGTTGCTTCCATATCTTGGCTATTGTAAATAGTGCTGCAATAAACATAGGGGTGCATATGTCTTTTTGAAACTGGGATACTGCATTCTTAGGGTAAATTCCTAGGAGTGGAGTTCCTGGGTCAAAAGGTATTTCTATTTTTAGTTTTTGAGGAACCTCCATACTGCTTTCCACAATGGTTGAACTAGTTTACATTCCACCAGCAGTGTGGGAGGGTTTCCCTTTCTCCACATCCTCACCAACATTTGTTGTTTGTCTTTTGGATGGTGGCCAGTTATTTGCTTTTTGGGTGTTGAGGCATATGAGTTCTTTATATATTTTGGATGTTAACCCCTTGTCAGATATGTTATTTACAAATATATTCTCCCATACTGTAGGATGCCTTTTTGTTCTGCTGATAGTGTCCTTTGCTGTACAGAAGCTTTTTAGCATTATATAGTCCCATTCATTCATTTTTTGTTTCCCTTGCCAGAGGAGATGCATTCAGGAAAAAGTAGCTCAAGTTTATATTCAAGAGATCTTTGCCTATGTTTTCTTCTAAGAGTTTTATGGTTTCATGAGTTACATTCAGGTCTTTGATCCTTTTTAAGTTTACTTTTGTGTATGGGGTTAGACAATAACCCAGTTTCATTCTCTTGCATGTAGCTGTCCAGTTTTGCCAACACCAGCTGTTGAAGAGGCTGTCATTTCCCCATTGTATGTCCATGGCTCCTTTATTGTATATTAATTGAA